TCAGTATTAATCTCCTGAATTAGCGAAGTTACACTGCGATACTGTTATTACACAGCACACATGGACTGTCAAAACCCCTTTGACAGTTCTAAGTGTGAAGTTTTTTTTGTCCCACCTAACTTCCCCCTACACACCACGAATATTGCACTTATATGTAACTCAAACTGCTAGGACTTGTGAAAATGAAAACAAGTAGCTTTTTTTTTTTTTAAACATAAGTATATACACTTTTTATAGAAGAAAAAAAAGGCCAGTTTGTTCTCTTGAGGAAGTTTTTATTTCCCAAGATTCCTCTGGGCCCCTTGTGTACTTACAGCTTTTGGAATAATTGCCACCTTTCTCATTTCTGTAACATCTTCATTGGTTCTTAGGGTGGATCATGGCTCTAGTCTTGTGAGCGACATTTTGGTGCCTTTTTTGTGTGCTCAATTCTACCAAGAATCTTTCAGCTTTCCCCAGAAACATCATCTGCAAACTTCCATCCATCCATTTTCCATACCGCTTATCCTACACGGTCACGGTAGAGCCTGGAGCTTATCCCAGGGAACTCGGGCCACAAGGTAGGGGACACCCTGGACAGAGTGCCAACCCATGGCAGGGCACAATAGCACAAACATTCACACAGTTTGGAAATGCCAATCAACTCGGGAGGAAACTGGAGTACCAAGAGGAAACCCCTGAAGCACAGGGAGACCGTGCAAACTCCACACACGCATAGGGCGGAGGTGGGATTCGAACCCTCAAAGCTGGAGGGCCGAGGCAAATATGCTAACTACCCGTGCCCAATTTTTCTATTCAAATGGTGCAGTGACTGGGTAGACTGTGAGCCATTTTAAAGTTTCCTGTACACAAATTATGTGTGTCCTTTAAGATACTTGATTGAGACATGACTGAGATACTAAGAGTTCTTTTCTATCCAAACAGACTGATTGTTGAAACCTAGTCAGTGACTGACGGCTGCACATGGAATTTGAAGAGATAAAACGGAAAGGTGTAATGGGTGAGAAATGCTTATTATCTCACTCCAACCCTTATTATTAAAACAGATGTGAAATGGCAAATGTTAAACTGTTAAATTCAGCTTTTATTTGTCTCTTATCTTTTCAGAGATGTCGGGTATAGAAGGAGAGGCAGGTCTGGTGGCTGGTCGCAGTCAGAGGGAGAAAAAGCGCTCATACAAAGATTTATTGAGAGAAGAGGAAGAAATAGCCGCACAGGTGTGCAAAACCTCATAGAGAAACAGTGATGTAACAGCAGGGAGGTAGAGAGAGAAACAGGATACATTATGTTGAGGAAATATTTCCAGTCATGTCAACCAGGAGTAGTTTGGGAAGGTCTTGTCTTCGTCTTTTAAAAACCATGATACCACTGCATGTTATGTAGTTCATTATATCAGTACATCATTGATTTCAAGCTACTAATATGAGGTTTTGGTAACCTCAGTACGGTTGTAGGTACTTTACAAAATCACTCTAGTTACAGTTACATTTATATAGCACTTTTCTAGACACACAAAGTGCTTTGCATAGTATGTGGGGTGTGGGATCTCCTCAACCACCGCTAGTGCACCAGATCACACACCACACATCAGATATTAGTGGAGAGGAGAGAGTGATGTAGCCAATTCAGAGATGGGGATTATTAGGGGGCCGTGATGGAGAACGGCCAGTGGGGGAATTTCGCCAGGACACCGGGGTTATACCCCTACTCTTTTACCACAAGTGTCCTGGGATTTTTAACGACCACAGAGAAGCAGAACCTCGGTTTAACGTCTCAGGGATGCAAATTTTATGCATTCAAATTAATGTAAGGTTTCTTCGATAGAGGTGCCATTTTAAATGATGAATTGGTTTCATCTTGACTTTCTAGTTCCATTTGGCATTTACAAAGTAGTGTAGATGCAGTTTGTAACCAAAATAGAAAATAATTTTTTTCCCCTCATAAGATTTTGCTTCTGTGTTGTTTTATTGATTCTTGTTTGTTCTGTTTATAATTAGGACTCTGAGTTGATAGTGACAGGTGGAGATTTACACAAAAAGAAGAAGAAGCACTCAGGTGATGAGCACCATTATAGAGGTAAGTGTAATAGAGTAGAGACTGCATCAGAGAGATGAGCAGACTTTAAAATGTAGAAAAGACTAGAAACTTTATGCATATTTGAAGAGTAAAAAAAAATTGAGGGATTAACACAATAATACACAATTTTATTGATTTGAGAGACAGAATGTTTAAGGAACTGATGTTGAACATATAAATAACTGAAATAAATGAGGGGGGAAATACTGGTTTAGTCCAGGTTACTCTAAGGTTTGTATAATAATAAGTTCACAATATTCATTGCATCTTTCTTCAGACCACCATGGCTCAGGGCCTCCTCATAAGAAGAAGCGCAAGTCCTCAGAACGCTCACCTTCACGCTCGTCTTCATGCTCCTCGCAGCCAGCCCACTCTACAGATACTGCTATGGGCCTCTTGCAGGCCATCACCTCACCAATGGCCAAAGGCTCTGAGCCTGGCCCTAACTTCCATAAAAAACCCGCTTACCCTCCTCACGCCTCACATTCCTCCTCCAAAGATCGCAAGCGCGAGGGTGGCTCCAAGAGTAGCCTCTCCTTCTCCCACTCTTTCTCTCATTCCCGCCATCCAAGTTCCTCTAAGAAGCATTCTTCGTCGTCCTCGTCTTCCTCTAAGTCGTCATTGTTCCATGCCGGAGCGGGGAAGGGTGAGCCGCTTACACTGCGAGATGGTGAGGGCTTGAAAATGAAGCTCATCCTTTCGCCCAAGGAGAGGAACGAGGGAGGAGAGTCGACTGAAGGATTCCCCTTCCCTGCAAATCCATCTTCAGGGAGCATGGGACATCATTCCGCTTCTGGCATCAAAAAAAGTGGGATGAAGAAGGAGAAGGACAGGGACCGAATGACAACATCTAAGCCACCAAAGAAGAAACAGCACAGCCGAGAGCCTCCGCCCATGGTGGGGAAAGAAGTAGAAGTGGAGGGTAGGAGAAGTCTATGCTCATCTTTGTATCACCGCATAAGTATAGTAGGTGGATCAGCCCTTATTGTGTAATTGTCTGTACATACCGTAGTACTGTTTGAAACGGTGTTAATGAATTACTGTATGATTTTTTTGATACTGTTCAGCAGGTTTGTACTTAAAGGAACAATCCAATTATTTCAACCTGATCTCTATCCACTGCTACTGTAGCATATTTGATTTGCAACAATTTGTCTTCTAGGACAGTATGGTGGGTCTTTGGCACATGGAGGAGATTGTTCATCCTCAGGACCGGAGCTAGAGGCAGGTGAACTGATCATTGACGACTCCTACACACACCTTTCATCTAAAAAGAAGAAAAAAAGCAAAAAAAGCAAAAAGAAAAAGGACAAAGAGAAGGACAGGGACAAGGATAAAAGCTCAAAAGAGAAGAAGCACAACAAAGGAGCAAATGCAGAAAAGAAAGGATTGAAAGGTAAGAGTTAATATCAAATAGTTAAACCTTTTCTGCTGATTTGATGTTTGTTGCTTAATCTTTATGTATTGTTAAGCAACGCTGAATTGAATTTTATGTGCCTGTTTATACTGTTTTCACAGGGGACTCATCACGAAGTCACTCCCATTCCCACAGCTCGTCCAATCACAGTACCTCATTAGGGACATATGCTATGGCTCCAGCGATCACCTTGCATCATCATCATCAGGGTGCTGACCTGATGATGGTGAAGAAGAAAAAGAAGGAGGAGAAGGAGAAGGACAAGCATGATAAAGACAAGGTGGTGATAAATATCAAATCTGTCATTAGCACTGCCGTTTACACCCATCTTCTGCACAGACCAGCACATCCTCCTTTTATACAGTTCAGTGCCATTTCATCGTAATTAAACAACTAGACTTATTTGTCTTAAAATTATTTATTTGGGTTGACTGGCTTTTTATATATATATATACACACCCACTGAGCACTTTATTAGAAACACCTGTACACCTACTCTTTCATGCAGTTATCTAATCAACCAATTGTGTGGCAGCAGTACAATGGATAGAATAATGCAGATCTAGACCAGCAGCTTTGGGTAATGTTCACATCACCCATCAGAATGGGGGGAAATGTGATTTCAGTGATTTTGACTGTGGCATGATTGTTGGTGCAGGAAAGGCTGCACCAAAAATCTCCTGGGATTTTCATGCACAATAGTGTTTAGAGAATGGCATCCAGTGAGCGGCAATTCTGTTCAATTGTGGTGAGCAGAAAAGAATCTCAGAATGCACTACATGTCAAACCTTGAGGTGGATGAGCTACAACAGCAGAAGACCACGTCAGGTTCTACATCTGTCAGCCAAGAACAGAAACCTAAGGCTAGAGTGGGCACAGATTCACCAAAACTGGACAGTCTGGACAGAAGAGTGGAAAATGAAGTCTGCTCTGATGAATCTTGATTTCTGCTGAGGCACACAGATGATAGGGTCAGAATTTGGTACCAACAGCAAGAATCCATGAACCTAACCTGCCTTGTGTCAATAGTCCAGGCTGATGGAGATGGTTTAATGGTGTGGGGGAATGTTTTCTTGGTACACATTGAGCCTGTTAATACCAATCAATTATCACTTGAATGCCACAGCCTATTTGCTGCTGACTATGCGCATCCCTTCATGGCCACAGTTTACCATTTTCTAATGTATACTTCCAGCATGATAATGCACCATGTCACAAAGCAAAAGTCTCAAACTGGTTTCATGAGCATGACAGTACGGTCAGTGTTCTTCAGTGACTTTCACAATCACCAGATCTGAGACCAAGAGAACACATTTGGGATGTGGTAGAACGGGAGATTTGCAGCATGAAAGTGCACCTGAAAAATCTGCAGGATGCATGATGCATTACATTTACATTTATGGCATTTGGTAGACGCCCTTATCCAGAGTGACTTACATTTATCTCATTTACACAACAGAGCAGTTGAGGGTTAAGGGGCTTGCTCAAGGACCCAGCAGTGGCAGCTTGGTGGTGCTGGGATTTGAACTCATTACCTTCCGAGCAGAAGTCTAACGTTTTAACCAAGCTACCACTTCCCCATTTTGCAATCATGTCAACATGGACCAGAACCTCAAAGGTATCTTTCCAACATCTTGTGGACTCCATACCATGAAGTATTATGGCTGCTCTGAGAGCAAAGGGAGGCTTTACCCAGCATCAATGTCGTGTGGCTAATAAAGTGCTCAGTGAGTGTACAGTCATGTGAAAAAAATAAGTACACCCCATGGAAATTGTTGCCTTTTTTGACATATTTGGACAAGCAAACATTTGATCCTCTATCAAACAGTGGCAATAATTTTATTTATTTTCACAAGAATTTATGTACTGCAGCTATAAGCTTTACTGATTCTGACTAGACAGACTACTTTTCTACGCTAGACTACTTTTGCCACATTCAAACACCAGCAGCCGTCACTCACCCTGATCAAATTGTTTCTTTCAGAAAAAGAAGAAGAGTACGACAGCTTATCAGGTTTTCTGTAAAGAGTACAGGGCCAATATAAATGCGGAACAGCCTGGACTTGGTGGGTGCTGCATTAAATCGCACACAGGCCTTTCATTACATGAATGTTATGCCATATTTATTTTGTGTTGTTTAAAAAAAAAAAAATATATATATATATATATAATTGATTCTAATGAGATGATATTTGGTGTACATGGATGCATTATATTAATACCACCACTTGTAAAAAATACAGTGCATGAGCTACCCACTAATCCTATGCTCATGGTTCTGCAGTGTTTGGGGAGTTGAGTAAGAAGCTTGCAGAAGTTTGGAATCATTTACCAGAAAAAGACAAGCAGGTCAGTAACTGTTTCTACTGCTTGGTGGCAATTAAATGTCTTTAAACATGTAATTGCTTCTCTGTTATTATTTCTTCAGAATTACAAGTGGATTAATTAACGTTATTAAAAAAATTTGAAATGATTGCTTGCTTCTGTCTATGCCTGCAGGTCTGGAAGCAGAAAGCTCAGTATCTGCAACATAAGCAAATTAAAGCTGATGCCACTACAGTTAAACAGAAGACTTCCTTATCAGAGAACAAAATCAAGAGTAAAATCTTAATTTCTACGATTTTCCCATCTATGATAACCTCTTCTCAGCCCGTTTGCATCAAAAACAAGCCAAGACTTGTTTTTGTACTGAGTTAATATATCATTTATGACTTGAACTAAAAGTTGCTTGTGATTAAAAAAAAAAAACACACACACACACACACACAAAAACCCCAATTTGCTCCCCATTTCCTCCTCTTTCTAAGGTTCCAGTAAGGTTGTTGGTACGGGGACAGGGTTGACCACTCCAAGCCGCTCTTCTCTGACCATCCGGGTACCAGAAGTTGACCCTATAGATGCTGCTGCCCATCTGCAGCTCCTTGGGGAGTCCCTCTCTCTCATCGGACACAGGCTACAAGAGACAGAAGTGAGTGCACAGCAAAAACAGTATCTCAGAACCTTCTGAAATTTTATGTTGCTTTTCTATAGTATTTGTATTATTTAATACAGTGCCCTCCAGATTTATTGACACCTTTTACAAGAATAGTTATATAAGATTTTAAAAAAGACAACAGGAGAAACTATTTATTTTTGTTCAAACAAAAATCATTGTCATTTTGCCACTTTGTTTAGGTATTTGTCTTTCCTCTCATAAATATATAAGAAAATGTACACTGTATGGGCAAATGTATGTGGACACCTGACCATCACACCCATGTATGGGTCTTCCCCAAACTGTCTCCACAATTTTGTATAGAATGGTATAGTATGCTGTAGCATTAAAGATTTCCCTTCATTGGAATTAAGGGGCATAAAATTTTCAGCATAACAGTGCAGCTGTTCACAAAGCATGAAGACATGCTTTGCCTGAAGAACTCAGGTGGCCTGCCTGAGTAGATGTGCATATGTTGTGCAAAAGATTGTGGGTGTCCACAAACCTTTGGACATATAGATTATGTATGAGTTTATGCACATGTAAAATCCATTTGTTATTCATTACCATGGTAGGGGGGGGACAAAGAACTTTCAGCACACAAGTTTCAAAATCAACTATTAAACAATAATTAGATGTTTCTTTGTTTTTTTCTAATCATATTAGCCTTTAAATAAGGAAAGAATGCTATCAAATATTAGTTGTGAGGGTGTTGGTACTTTTGAAACCAAGATTTTGTAGAAAATTATCAATAAATTTTTTTTGTGTTTGGGGGAAAAATGTTAAATAAAAAAAAAAGCTATACAATTTTCCTGTATATTTGAACTCCAGCCCTACTCTCTGCTTAATCCTTAAACAAACTAAGGCATGTCCTCTTCTCTTGCAGGGAATGGTAGCAGTGTCTGGCAGTCTCTCTGTCCTGCTAGACTCCATTTTGTGTGCTCTTGGTCCATTAACCTGCCTCACTGCTCAGGTCCCTCAGCTTAATGGATGTCCCCGCAGCGTCTTGGTGGGACACAAGTACACATAACCACACTCACTGCCCACTTTATGAGGAACATCTCTTCAACTGCACATTCTTACAATGATCTAATCAGCCAATCACATCGCAGCAGCGCAGTGCAAAAAATGAAGAAGATACTGGTCAAGAACTTCAGTTCAAGTTAAACAGCAGAATGAAGAAAAAGTGTGGTCTCTGTGACTTTAACCATGGCATGGACGTTGGTACCAGACAAGCTGGTTTGAATATTTCATAAACTGCTGATACCATGGGATTTTCACACAACAACAGTCTCTAGAGTTTACACAGAATGGTGTGAGAAAAAAAAACATTGAGTGGCACTTCTGTGGGTGGAAAAGCCTTGTTGATAAGAGAGGTCAGAGGAAAATGGTTAGACTAGGTTTGAGCTGCCAGGAATGATATTGTAACTCATATAATCACTCTTTACAACTGTGGTGAGCAGAAAAACATCTCTGCATGCATGAGGTGGATGGGCTGCAACAACAGAAGACCATACTGGGTTCCACTCCTGTTAGCCAAGAACAGTAATCTGAGGCTATCATGGGCACAGGCTCAATGAAACTGGGAAGTCTCTATAATCAACAAGGCATTTCCACCCACAGAACTCTTGCTCAGTCAGTGTTTTTTGTTTTTGACACTATTTATTGTAAACCATCATTGTGTGTGAAAATCTCAGGAGATCAGCATTTTCTGAAATACTCAAACCAGCCCATCTGGCACCAACATCCATGCCAAGTCACAGAGATTACTTGTTTTCTTCAATCTGATGTTTGATGTTAGCATTATTTACCATTAAGGTCTTGTACTCTCGACCTGTATCTGCATAGTGTTGTTTCTTCTTTTCTTTTTTTTTCTTGCATTGCACTGCTGTCACATGATATGCTGAGCAGATAACTGCAAGAATGTTCAGGTGTTCCTAACAAAGTGGACATTCAGTTTATATATATATATATATATGAGTATATATATAATTTATATGATTTATGACGTTGAATGACATCTAACATATATATATATATATTTTGCAGTCAAACACGCTGGACAACATAGCATACATCATGCCGGGACTATGAAACTGAAGAAGAGATGACTTTACACCAATTGCACTTCATAAGAAACAGGACTCATCAAAAACAACCATGAAACAAAATGACAGTTTTTGACCGTTTATTTTTGTTAACAATGCAAGGTCTGGGGCAAAAACATTGGACATTTGTAGACGTAGAACTGTTTTTAAATCCTAAAGTGTTTAATATTTTTTAAAAATGTAATTCTTTAATATTTTTTAAAAAAAGAATCAGAAATCTTATTCTAGGGAACACGTCTATGTCAGGTTATTAGGTTTTATTGTTTAAATGTGTCCCAGTGAGTGTGTGCATGTGTGTATGTTTATGTGAGCGTGTTGTGTGAAAATTGCCATACTTTTATTATGTAAAGAGCAATTTATTTTTTTGCAGATGTGTACAGTTTTATGTCTGGGCCTAAGGCTGTTTATTTTATTTTATTATTTTTTTTATTTATAGTTAAGTTAATAGAAGCATAAAGTAGTTTAACTGCAGTTGTCCTTTTTACTGCCAAACTGTTTTTATACTCGTGAAATGTAATATGTTATCATTTGTTTATAGTAAAAGCATGTATGAAATAATTTTGGAAGTCTGACCAAACAATTTGCAGTAATGCATAGATTTAGAAGAGTAAACCTGTACAGTTCATTATTACTATGATTTATTTTCTCCCCAAACCGATGAAAATATGCAGTTTGCATTTTTATTAGATTTCAGGTTAACTTTTTTGAACAATTTTCTTTTTCTTTTTGTAATTTCCAAATATTTATCTAAAACATTCGGATTTTCAGCTTTTTTAGGTTTGTGCAAAGATTTTGTGAAGAAAAAATGACCCCAAAGAACAGAGAAAATTTTCTGAAGTCTTTAATTACATCTAAGTACTTGCATAGCCATAGCTTTAATTAATGTAGAAGAGGCAGTCTAGACATGTAATAATTACAAATAATACATTATTGCTCGTACAATGATTATCTTTGTTTGTTAGTCTGCCAGTCTGCAGGTAATCACTGGCACTTTAACTCCTGTTTTTAAAACAACAACAAACAAAAAAAAAACCCAAACCTGCCTTAAAAGGGAATTAATAGTTTGAATAGCAAAGACAGGGTGGTTCAACTTTTGGTTCAACTAATGTGCAAGACTTTCTGTGTGTGTGTGTGTGTGTGTGTGTGTGTGTGTGTGTGTGTGTGTGTGTGTGTGTGTGTGTGTGTGAGAGAGTGTGAGTGCGCGTGCGTGTGTGTGTGCCTGCTCGCAATTGAATGCGCACGCGTCCTTATAGGCTAAAGCCAGTTCTCAGCCGTGTGATTGGAAACACACCAGACAGAAGAGGACACTCAGACAGAAGAGAGAGTGTAAAGGGAACATGAGACTAAGTGTGACCTAAAAGACTCGTATGTCCGTATCAGTGGCTTCCCTTTTGTGTATTTGTTTGTCTTTTTTTGTTGCTTTTTTTGCATACTAGCTTTCAAGTTCCAGGAAAAGAAGGAAGTGCTGTGAGGCGAAGAACTGACTAGCACACTACAG